TTCTCTTCTGGGTGGTAAGCTAGACACATCAGAAAAGACGTCCGAAAAGTCACATACAACAGGCAGTTCATTTACCAAAACATTTTTCTCAGAATTCATAGAAGCTAACAACATGTACACTTGGCATCTTCTTGCAAAGATACCTTAACTTGGTTGGCAGTCAAATAATCCTTACTCACTTTTTCAACAGACTCACCAAAAACAATAGATTTACTAGCACAATTCAAAAAGACATGATTGGAAGATAACCATTTTTCTCAGAATTCATAGAAGCTAACAACATGTACACTTGGCATCTTCTTGCAAAGATACCTTAACTTGGTTGGCAGTCAAATAATCCTTACTCACTTTTTCAACAGACTCACAAAAAATAATAGATTTACTAGCACAATTCAAAAGGACATGATTGGAAGATAACCAGTCCATACCCAAAATAACATCTAGTTGACTTAGAGGTAAACAAATTAAGTCGACCATGAAATCTCTACCTTCAATAGTCAGAGGACACTTTGAACAAACATCAGAAGTGATTACCGATCCACTAGTGGGTGTTTCGACAATTAACTCAAAAGACAAGGAAGAGACAGGTGATTTTAGTTTAGACACACATGCATGTGATATGAAAGAATGAGTCGCACCAGAATCATATAAAATGGTTAATGGAGTTCCATTAATGAAACACATACCCTGAATTAAGTCTTTGGATTGAGTAGCTTCAGCACCACTCAAAGCAAATACTCTTCCTGTGGTTCTAGGTTTGCTAACGCTCCCTCCAGCCTCTGTTATTTCTTTCCTATTCTGAGGGCATTCACTAGCTTTATGTCCCTCTGCTTTACATTTGAAGCATATCATTATCCTTTGCATCCGACAATCAACTGCCCTATGACCTGGCTTTCCACATTGGAAACAGTTGTTGTGTGGAACAAAACCAGACTTCCCCCTCCAGAAGTTTGGCTAACCATTGGAACTTGGCTTCTTTGTTGCGTAGAACCTTGATTATTCACCTTAGAACTTGGTATAAGGTTTATTCTTATTAGCTGGACCAAACTTAATATTTCTCATCGGTCCTCCACTCTTATAATGAGTTACCCTAGCTCGGTTGTCCTCATCATATACTCTGCACTTGTTTACCAATTCATGGTAGTGAGTAATCCCTTGATAATTGAACACTTGTTTGATCTCAAGGCGAAGACCGCTCATAAATTTCACGCATTTGTCCTCCTCATTGTTTACACCATCATACATAGGGCAGAATCTAACCAAGTCTTCAAATTTAGTCACGTATTCAGCCACTGAATTCTCTCCTTGTTTCAATTCAAGGAATTCCACCTGTTTCTTATGTCTCACATCTCGGGGAAAATATTTCTCCAAGAACAGCCGCTTGAAATTATCCCAGTTTACTTGAGTTCCCACAGCCATCATTCTTTGCAAAGCACCTTGCCACCAGATGCCAGCCTCTCCAGAAAGCATAAAAACGGCCAAAGTTACCTTCTGTATCAAAGGACATCCCATAGCTTGGAATATCTTTTCAATTTCAAAAATCCAATCAGCAGCTCCATCAGAATTATAGCCTCTACGAAAGCTTGGCGGATTATTTCGCTGAAATCTCTCTAGCCAATCTATCTCTGGTCGTTGGTTTAGATTACCAATAGCTTGAGCCATCGCTTGCAGAGCATCAGCGATTGCGCGATCGTTTCTACCTCCTGCCATTGTTTTTCTGTCCTCCCAGAAAAGTTAACAATCATACTCTAAAACAACAAATTTAATCAACTATCTTTATATCAATAAATTTAACAATCAATTTACTACACCATTTATCTACCAAACAAGCATAGCAGACTCATAACTTACGGCCGACTCTTCCTGTGGTTCTGGGTTTGCTAACGCTCCCTCCAGCCTCTGTTATTTCTTTCCTATTCTGAGGGCATTCACTAGCTTTATGTCCCTCTGCTTTACATTTGAAGCATATCATTATCCTTTGCATCCGACAATCAACTGCCCTATGACCTGGCTTTCCACATTTAAAACAGTTGTTGTGTGGAACAAAACCCACACTTCCCTGGTTATCTTCCAATCATGTCCTTTTGAATTGTGCTAGTAAATCTATTATTTTTTGTGAGTCTGTTGAAAAAGTGAGTAAGGATTATTTGACTGCCAACCAAGTTAAGGTATCTTTGCAAGAAGATGCCCAAGTATACATGTTGTTAGCTTCTCTGAATTCCGAGAAAAATGTTTTGGTAAATGAACTGCCTGTTGTGTGTGACTTTTCGGATGTCTTTTCTGATGTGTCTAGCTTACCACCCAGAAGAGAAGTAGAATTTTCCATAGATTTAGTTCCAGGAACAGGACCTATCTTTATGTCCCTCTGCTTTACATTTGAAGCATATCATTATCCTTTGCATCCGACAATCAACTGCCCTATGACCTGGCTTTCCACATTGGAAACAGTTGTTGTGTGGAACAAAACCAGACTTCCCCCTCCAGAAGTTTGGCTAACCATTGGAACTTGGCTTCTTTGTTGCGTAGAACCTTGATTATTCACCTTAGAACTTGGTATAAGGTTTATTCTTATTAGCTGGACCAAACTTAATATTTCTCATCGGTCCTCCACTCTTATAATGAGTTACCCTAGCTCGGTTGTCCTCATCATATACTCTGCACTTGTTTACCAATTCATGGTAGTGAGTAATCCCTTGATAATTGAACACTTGTTTGATCTCAAGGCGAAGACCGCTCATAAATTTCACGCATTTGTCCTCCTCATTGTTTACACCATCATACATAGGGCAGAATCTAACCAAGTCTTCAAATTTAGTCACGTATTCAGCCACTGAATTCTCTCCTTGTTTCAATTCAAGGAATTCCACCTGTTTCTTATGTCTCACATCTCGGGAAAAATATTTCTCCAAGAACAGCCGCTTGAAGTTATCCCAGTTTACTTGAGTTCCCGCAGCCATCATTCTTTGCAAAGCACCTTGCCACCAGATGCCAGCCTCTCCAGAAAGCATAAAAACGGCCAAAGTTACCTTCTGTATCAAAGGACATCCCATAGCTTGGAATATCTTTTCAATTTCAAAAATCCAATCAGCAGCTCCATCAGGATTATAGCCTCCACGAAAGCTTGGCGGATTATTTCGCTGAAATCTCTCTAGCCAATCTATCTCTGGTCGTTGGTTCAGATTACCAATAGCCTGAGCCATCGCTTGCAGAGCATCAGCGATTGCACGATCGTTTCTACCTCCTGCCATTGTTTTTCTGTCCTCCTCGTTTGTCCTCATCATATACTCTGCACTTGTTTACCAATTCATGGTAGTGAGTAATCCCTTGATAATTGAACACTTGTTTGATCTCAAGGCGAAGACCGCTCATAAATTTCACGCATTTGTCCTCCTCATTGTTTACACCATCAAAAGCAGAATGACCCGTTCTAAAACCAGAACGGCCCGTTCTCAATCTCAGCAGAACGACCCGTTCTCCCTCCGGAACGGCCCCTTCTCCTTCCGGAACGGCTCGTGCTCCTTCCGGAACGGCCCGTGCTCCTTCCGGAACGGCCCGTTCTGGGCCCGTTCCCAACTTAAAATTTCAGTATCTTTTTATTGCTTGGAACGGCCCGTTCCAATTTTGCAAAATTATCCATTTTAATAGGAGAAATTAAAGGTAATATTCTTAAGTAGATAAGCTAATAGGAGAAAATTTTTGCAAAATTAGTTAATAAATAAGTCCATTTTAATTTTATAGAAAAAAATTATTTCAATTTATTTCTTATTTTTAAAAATATTTTTTAAAAAAATTATCCAAATAAACCGTTAAAAAATTAAATTAATAATCTACCATAGGATTATTTAAGATTATTTTTACTTTGGTTAAGTTACACTACCAGGAAAAGTTTAGGGGAATGCTCCGGTGCCCTCTTATTTGAAGGGGTTTTGGTGCCCCTCAGTACAAAAGTTGGGTTTTTAGGGGCAATAAGGTAAATTGATAAATTGATCAATTTACCTTATTGCCCCTAAAAATCCAACTTTTGTACTGAGGGGCACCAAAACCCCTTCAAAATAGCCAAAAGTTTAGTATAGTAACGGAACATGTTCCCCCAGTCCCCAATTTGTGGAAAATAAATTATATGTATAATTATTAAAAGTTATTTATATTTTTATTTAATATTAACAAAATTTTCACAAGTTTTAAATATTTTTAGAATTATTAATAATATTAAGTCATTGAGATGATAAAGAACTTTATAAATAAATTTATTTATCAATTACTTTTAATTTTAAGTCATTGAAAGAGCATTGAAATTTTTAATTATAAATTCACAAATATTTATTCATTAAAAGAAGATAAAGAACGTTATATTTAGTCATTCTATTTTATTTAGATTTTTTTTGTCAATAATGTTCTTTTAAGTTTTTAATTTTTATGAAACCAACCATTATAATTGATTTAATTAACACTTTTATACATGCATTAACTATTTCATTATAAGAAAGTTTATATAAGATGACTTGAATCTATGGATTTTTCATGCATGCAGATTTTTCTTGTGGGTTTTATTATTTTATATCCATACCTTTCTATATGAATTTTGTGTTTTTTTTTTCTTTTCAAAATCTTTCTCTAAATTTTGCTATAATTTTGACAAAAATATGGTTATTTCTTTAAATCTATTAAAAATTCATACATCTTTTTTTATATTCTCGCCCATCTTTTTTAAAAGAAGAAAAAATGTATGTTAGTTGTAATTTTATTTAAAAATTTATAGATAAATTTTCTAATTTTCTTATTTAATAGTTAAAGAAAATATAAAAGTAGTAAAAAGAAAAAGAAAGGTGAGAAATGTTATGAATGAAGTAGAAAAAATATTTTTAATATCGTAAAATCATTAATTAAAAATATTTAATATTCAAATAATATCATTCAATATTTAAAATCATCTATAAAAATTTTATATATTATCAAAACTATTGCATTTTATTTATACAATTTACTTTTAGTTATTTTGGATCCTTCAAATAGTTTTTTCACGCTTACACAACCCCATTTGTTGGCAACTAAAAATCAATTTCATCACATATATAAGTTTCTTGATAAAGAAAGGCTATTGATTTTTTGAGTTTGCTTTGTAAATTCCTCTCAAATTGAGATCGAGCAAGAAGTATGTTAAATTGTTTTTAATTTTATTTTTATACAAGGTTAAAAAAAAATACTATATCTAGATTTGATTCATTGAATCTCGCTTTATTTCGTGGAAAGATTAATTTTAATTTAGGAATAGAGTTTATTGCTCCTATAATTAAAATCAGAATTTTTTCTTCTTCTTCATTATTATTATAAAAGTAACATTGCTGTTTCTATATTTTGTGTAGGCTAAGACACCATTATTGCAGTAAGAAGAGATTGATGGTAAAGAGAGTTTGATGAAGATAAACAAAAGTGCCTTGTTTTACCACGTACGTTTGTTTGTGTTAAAAAAATAAAAATAAAAACATTGATTACTGGTTTTACTATGTTGATGATGAAATACATTGTTATATTTTGCATATTATGTAATGTGTGTGATTACAAGTGATAAACAGTCATGAAAAACAAAGATGAAGTGATGAACTGTATCCACTAAGTATTATCTTTATTGTTTGAAGCATTGTGTGATGAATTGTATCCACTAAGTATTATCTGTATTGTTTCAAGCATTGACACAACGTTAAAATAAATGTGTTTTTGTGTGTTATATTTGTTCAATTTGTTTCCCTTATTGATCTTAAAAATTTACATATCCAAATTCATCCTTCGTGTAATATGCAAATACGAGATCTTCATCAAATTGCATCAAATTAAACATTCAATTTTGAATTAGATATATATTAATTTGTTGACACCGTCACAGAAATTTAAAGTTTCATATGCATCGCTCTCAACTGCTTATTCACATAATCTTTTAAGCCAAATCCACTGATAGACTCTAGAATTTGCTTGAACAATGGCATTTTGGGAACACTCCAATGGTTGCTTCACATGCCTGAAAATTTTCCCTAGATATTTAGATTACTGCTAAAATGATATATAGCACTGTTACTGAAATGTAGAAACATGTGCCTTCATCACAATTGACATATTTTGTAACATGCATTCTTTTCTAAATTGTGCATCAAAATTTAAATAGTATATTGATCGAGTATCCGGTTGTTGCAAAATATATATATATATATATATATATATATATATATATATAAAAGATCAAATTATATTGTAGACAGTATGAATTATGCTACTTTGTAACTGTTAAGTGAGCATTTTTCCGTAGACAAATTCTATTATAATGGCAAAAAGATTATAAGCACATATAAGATAGATATTTTCTTTTTAATTATAATTAATTAATAAAAAATTACTCAATTCAATTTGTAAAAATGTAAATGGATTGGTTTAAGTAGGTTGAGTTCGCGAGTGAGTCATTATTCGCTTACACTCATATGTTGGATGATACAATCAATGACTCCTTCTTCTTATAATAAATGTCATTTTGGGTTGTTTTACATGTACAAAAACTAATAAATAAATAAATAATTAAAATTTTACAAAATTATTCTTAGAATTATATATTTTTTTAAAATAATGTAACATAATGACCACTTTTTCAAAATCATAAAAAAAATATAAATAAAAATTATTAATATTATATTAAAAATTATCTTAATAGTTTTTTAAAAAACTTATTTTTCTTTAAATACAACCCTTATTATAAAATACAGCAATAATACAATTGTCGGAACACATATTTAATCAAGATTTGTCGCATGTTACCTACTACTAAAATAGTAAAATAATAAATCTAATTCATCACTTCTTCTGCTTAAATCAAATAATGGGGTGTATAAAACAAAAAAATCAAATAACGGATAATATATTATTTCGACTAGAATATACTGGCAGATTTAAGGCACATATTAGTCGAGACAATTCATTTAAAAATAATAAATATTATTGTTATAAATAAAAAACTAATAGTAGTATAAATAAAATCAAGAGTTCAAAAGTATAATAATAAAGATACAAATTATTAAAAATTAATATAATTATTTATAATTGTATTAAGTCGAGGGAGTGCAATTTCCCACTTTAGGTTGACTATAGGTTCGTCACTATATACAGTTGGTCCAAGTAATATCTCATTTTTTATTTGTTCTTTATAATTTTAAATTTTTATTCATATTATTTTGTTTTAATTTATATAACATGTTTTTTTTGTAATATTTGTTTTCAGTTCTACTAATTTTGTTTCAAATATCAAAATAAATAAAATACTACATACAATAGAAACTAAAATTTTGTTTAAATTTTTTTATTTTTATTTCTTTTTCACAGAGTTTTCTTAAATTATAATTCTTTTATTTCTTATAAACTAAAAACAAAAAGTTTCGTAATATTTTCCTCTTCTCTAATTTTTGGTCTCTGCCATACAATACCTAAAATTATTATGCAGAGAGTGAGATTCCTGTTTGGGGAGGTGAGAGCTCTAAACTTGCAATCGTAAGACTTTCCACCCAATGTCGATGTTATGGCAATCCAAACCCCTCGGCAGGCACACCAATCTGCGGCGGCGCTGCCACTGGGAGTCGGAGAAGGAGGCGGCATGGGTTGTGAGGCGAGTGGTGTCAATTCTGGGACATCCACGGAAGGACTGGGACGAGGAAAAGCTTGACAGGGTTGTCTTGAAACCCTCAGTCCTCTCCTCTGAGCACTTCCTCCAAATCACTCTCCAGCTATCTTCCATTCCCAAATCCCTCAATTTCCTCAAATACCTCACAGCAAAGGCCCCACACCACCATTCCCTCTCTTCCGTCTTCCAGGCCTCTCTCCAGCTCGCTTCTCGACACCCCAATTCCCAAACCCACCTTCTCCGCCTCCACCGCTTCCGAAATTCCACCCTCCCCACTCTCCCCCTCACTCCCAAATCAGCTTCCCTTCTCTTCCATTGCCTACAAAACGCGCAAATGCTGGACGATTCACTTCTTCTCTTCAACCAGCTTCACCCTTCTGCCAAAAGTTCTCAACTTTGCAACGGGTTTTTGAGGGTGCTGCTGATTTCCGGTCGCTCCGGGGATGCACTCCACGTGCTCGACGAAATGCCCGAACCGAATTCCGGGTTCCCCGCCACTGGGGAAGTTGTTTTCGGAGAGTTGGTGAGAAGGGGGACAAGTTTTCCTGATGGTGACATTGTGGGGTTGGTTACCAAGCTTGGTGAGCGTGGAGTTTTCCCTGATGCGTTTAAGCTTACTCAGTTGGTGAGTAAGCTGTGTGGGGAACGGAAGATCGGTGTGGCGTGGGAGGTTTTACATTCTGTGATGAGGCTGGGTGGTGCGGTTGAAGCTGCGTCGTGCAATGCTTTGCTGACGGGGCTGGGACGGGAGAGGGACGTTAAGAGGATGAATGAACTGTTGGCGGAGATGGAGGAAAGGAGGATAAAGCCTAGTGTGGTAACCTTTGGGATTCTTGTCAATCATTTTTGCAAGGCTGGGAGGATGGACGAGGCGTTACATGTGTTTGATGGAATGAGAGGGAGAGGAGGGAGTAGTAGGGTAGGTGTTGAGCCTGATGTGGTGTTGTTTAACACTTTGATTGATGGACTTTGTAAGGCTGGGAGGGAAGAAGATGGTTTGAGTTTGCTGGAAGAGATGAAAACGGGGAGTAAAAATAGACCCAACTCGGTTACGTATAATTGCTTGATTGATGGGTTTTGTAAAGCTGGAAACATTGATAGAGCACAGGAGTTGTTTCGTTGTATGAAAGAGGAAGGATTGCAGCCAAATGTGGTCACTCTCAATGCATTGGTTGATGGTATGTGCAAACATGGGAGAGTCCATAGAGCAGTTGAGTTTTTCAATGAGATGAAAGGGAAGGACATGAAAGGGAATGCTGCTACGTATACTGCATTGATATCTGCTTTCTGTGGTGTGAACAATATTGATAAAGCCATGAAGTGTTTTGAAGACATGTTGAGTTCTGGGTGCTCTCCGGATGCTATCGTTTACTATTGTTTGATTTCAGGTTTAAGCGTTGCTGGAAGGATGAATGATGCTAGTGTTGTCGTGTCAAAGTTGAAGCAGGCTGGGTTTAGACTTGATAGAGCTTGCTATAATGTTCTTATCAGTGGATTCTGCAAGAGGAAGAAGCTGGAAAGAGTTTATGAACTGCTTGATGAAATGGAAGAAACTGGAGTTAAGCCTGATACTGTCACATATAACACGTTGATTTCCTACCTTGGCAAAACTGGAGATTTTGCAACTGCCGGTAAGATGATGGAAATGATGATTAAAGAGGGTCTTAAGCCCTCTGTTGTCACGTATGGGGCAGTTATACATGCATATTGTTTAAAGAAGAATGTTGACGAGGGCATGAAGATTTTTAGGGGAATGTGTTCTACATCCAAAGTCTCTCCCAACACTGTGATATACAACATTTTAATAGATGCCTTGTGCAAGAATGACGATGTAGAAAAGGCTGTTTCTTTGATGGAGGACATGAAGGTAAAGGGGGTTAGGCCTAATACAACCACATATAATGCTATTCTCAAAGGGGTTCGGGATAAGAAAATGTTGCACAAAGCATTTGAACTTATGGACAGAATGGTTGAAGATGCTTGCAGACCGGACTATACAACTATGGAGATTCTTACTGAATGGCTTTCTACAGTTGGTGAAATAGAAAAATTAAAACATTTTGTGGAAGGGTGTCAAGTTTCCTAGTATGCTAGAGCTAAACCATAAAGAATGGTATTCTTTTTTGAACCCATTTTAAAAACACCTAAGCTGAAATACAATGGAATTGCACTAAGGGTGGGAACACAACATGGGGCCACAACAATTTTTTCTTATAAACATGGAATTGCACTAAGGTTTGGCTTTTGGACCTTTACAACACGTACTATCGCTTGCTTTATATTTAACTGATCCTGAAAATATGTATCCATTCTGGTTTGATTGTTGATTTCATTTTTTTGTTCATGTCTTTATGGAATGTGAAAGAGAAAAATCTAATCAGCAGCTCCATCAGAATTATAGCCTCTACGAAAGCTTGGCGGATTATTTCGCTGAAATCTCTCTAGCCAATCTATCTCTGGTCGTTGGTTTAGATTACCAATAGCTTGAGCCATCGCTTGCAGAGCATCAGCGATTGCGCGATCGTTTCTACCTCCTGCCATTGTTTTTCTGTCCTCCCAGAAAAGTTAACAATCATACTCTAAAACAACAAATTTAATCAA